ATTGCCGAGTTGATTCAAGTATAACGGATACCTGTAGGACTTAGAGAAAATCCTAAGGTCGGAAACTCCAACGTGTAAAATCAGCTGCCGCAGCCTTTCAACTTAGACGTTAAGATAAACGAAAATGAACCCGGTGACAACATCAAAGGATTCAGGAAAAGATTTGGGAAAAAAATGCATACAGCAAAAATAAGAATAATTAACTTCCTGATTATCCATCTAAAGTAGTAAAAAATGGATTATTTTTTATGATGAGTATTATATATATCATAATAAAATGTTTCTTATAAATTGTGCAATTGAAGAAAATAATCCTATTATAAGCAGTACTTGATATAGGCGCTAATATAAGTATTGTTAGTAAAAAAATTATTGATTATCAACCTGAAAGAATTTGCTAGATAATTGAATTGGATATATTAATAGGTATGGCTAAAAAATAATGGAAAAGTTTACTACTAATCCCACATAGTATATGCTACTATGTAATCTAGCAAAATATAACTACATATATGATAAGGGATAGGTTTCACCAGTCTAGAGTAGTGATTACTTTGTAAAATAGCTATCATATATCATAGGCAGTGAAATTTTTATATTTATTTTTTACGTTATATCTATATTTACTGTAATAAAAAATTTTTACATATAATACAACACTGATCAGATCTAAATTTATTAGTCTAAACTTATATTATTTTGAGGTGAATATTCTTCATGTTGCATATAACTTGACTTGATTTGCATATATGACATCCATAGTGTAGATTATTATTACTGCATGTTTTTTTCTACATTTTTTAATAATTTGCATAGACTAAACTAATGTGCTCTTGACAATCTTTACATATGGATATTGTTAAATTCTTTTATTATTAAATTAAAAGTAATTAACATAATTAAATCGATCTTGCGGATTATATAAAAAGGTGATGTGATTAGTGAACCTTTTTATCCTCCTTATGCATTCCAGCTTTGTAGATATACAATGTCAATAACAAGAAAATTAAAAACTGTCTAATTAGCTACTTCAATACATTGATAATTAACTTTTTAAATACATTGACTATAAGATTTTAATAAAAAATTGTTAATTAAGCATTTTTATTGACATAAAAATATATGTAAAATACAAAGTCCTAGTTATTTTTTTTTTTGCCTGATTTTGATCAAATTATTGACTTTTATATGATCAATACGTTTAGTATTATTGGAATCCTGATTTTCTTCTTCACTATCAGATCTCACCCTAATATCAACGTGACATTCTAATTTTTCCCTTATAATCTGATCAAGAACTGCTATCATATATTTCAGGGCATCATTTTTGGTAATATCCCTTGTATCTGGAAGTACTCATATATGATATAACTTATTATGTATTTCAAAAATGAAGATTTGGTATCCTTTGCTTCATACAAATTTAATATATAATTCACATAAGTAACAATAATACTTAAATACCACCATAAACACCAGATTTTTATTTCTTTAATTTATAATATTGGTCAATATATTTATTTCTGCATGTAAATATAAGCATTATTCAATTTTTTATTGTCTAATTGTGAATTTATGTTACTGTCTGTCCTATATATCTTCTTTAATCTTCTCAATATAAAATTATTATTTAAACATCTTTTCTTAAATTTTTCATACTCTCTGGTAGTATGAATAAACTTTTGAATAACATTCACTCATGAAAAAATGGATTGATGAGAAATTATAATGGGATTTAATATAATCATATTAAAAAATTAGTTTTTGTACTTTTCATTATAGGCGCATACCATGATATTGACCAAAACTAAATAGTAAGATTTCACTTTTCTGAAATATCTTAAAAATTTTTTCCAGATTTTATTTTATCTTTGACTGTTTTATAATAACTGCTACAAATCTCAGATATTTTGTATCCATGTACTTTATTTACATTCTTAATTTCAGCAAATTCTGTGAAAGATAAAATATATTAATTTTGTGATTTTTTAGTTATATCTTCCTTTAGCTTATTAAGTCTAGATTCAAACTTAGTAGAATAATAATCTATTATAGCTTCAAATAAATCCTTTATATCATTTCTTTCAAATACTGTATCTATTGTTATAGGAGTATCTTTAGATATACTTTTTAAATATACCTTAATTTTGTTGATATAATTAACATCTTGTCTATCTTAACCTTCATTTTTAGAAATATAAACAATGCATTTATCAGAAAAAAAATTTCAATTCTACTGTTACCACTTCTTGGTCTCTTATCAATATTATTGCTAGATTACAAGAAAAATTTTTCTTCACATCCTTTCCTTTTTTTCTTGCTTCACTAACAACAAACTTAATACTTTTAACAATACATACTTTACTATACAACTCTTGCATTTTTTTTCTATTTGCTATTCTAGTATTCTATATTTATAAGCTTTATATAAAAAGTATTTTTTATAAATTGTATTGATCAATCATTTTTATATTATTCTATTATAAAATTTATACTAAACTAGTTTCAAATCTGAAAAACTAGAATAGGATTTTATAGTATATTAAATAGATTAATAGTATATTTTTATAAATAAATTATTTTAAAGTACCGATCACGTAATAGGTATAGTTGCATACTAGTCTATTTTAAGGACATAATTTTATATAACTGTAGTGTATTTACTTTTAGCATAATATTATCTCTCTTACACTTTTACTAAATTCCTATCTTCAAAATGTTCAAAATGATGATATACCCACTGGTTAAACAAGAACTTGTAGAATGGGATTTAATAATCAATTAAGAAATTTTGCAGCTATTTCACGTTATTTTAATCCTATAAACAATGTAACTTTCATAAAACTTTTTAGTAAGAAACAAAACAAGCTACTTTATTGAGTTTTTTAAACTAGATATTAAGACGAGAGGATGATAATATAATTGAAAAAGTTGAATTTTTGTCTTATGATTTACCTCTTCAATCTGAAATTTCTATAAAATCTATTTTAGATGTTTTTATCATGATAAAAAAGGACACAATTATATTATTGAAATGCATAACAAAAGACTTTTATTCTTTCAAAGATTAGCCTCACTTAATTATTCAGAACAACTTTTTAAAGGTGCAGGTTATTTAAAACTTAAATCAGTAATTCAACTTGCTATCATGAATCATATTATTTTTTTTAGAGAGAATCAATGTATTAGTTATTATTGCAATCATGAAGAGAAAAAAAATATATGTTTTTTACCAAATTTTTCAAATGTATTTGTTGAACTTCCAAACTTCAATAAATGCAGAGAATAACTCAAAATTACTGAGGACTATTGGGTATATTTATTAAAGAAAACCTCTAATAAAAAAGAATCTCTAAAAGAAGTGTCTAGAGATTCGAGAAGCTTATGATATTCTTAAAAGATATTGTTAAAGTTCAGCAGAATATGTTTGCTATAAAAAGATCATAATGATAAATTTAGATTATGAAGATGCACTTAGAACTGCTAAAAATGAAAGTAGAGCTGAAGGTATAGCTGAAGGTTTTGTAAAAAGATAAAGCTGAAGGTAGAGATATAGGTAGAGATATAGGTAGAATCAGAATGAAAAAAGAAATTGTATGTAAATTTTTAAAAAAAGGTTATAATCTTCAAGATATTTCAGATATTACAGGGTTATCAGATTTAAAAGTTGAGGAATTAAGTAACAATAATAATTATTTGACTTTGAGAAAATAGGATTTTTTCCTATATAATGGAAATCCATTACTCTATTAGTTAATTTCTTATTTGTGATCACATTATGAAGCAGTGATTTTTATTATGGATTAGTTATTACTTTGACAGCATTTTACTTTATTAAATAAAGCATTAATGATTAGGGTGTATAGAATAGTTTTCATTATATAAAATTGAGACTTTATTTAAAAATTACGTAGTGATCAGTCATATTATAGTCTTGTTGTAAATTTTAATCTGATATACGATTATGAGTCTCAAGCTCAAGCAATTAGTTATCTTAGTATTTCAAACTCTTATAACATATTTGATAATGTATTTTTATATAAGATATGATTTATTTAATTTGTATAGGAAAAATCAATCATCAGGATATTCTTTATTAATTCAGTAAATAAATTAAATAATTCAGCTTGTAGTCAGATAATTTCATTAATAATTTCAGAATATTAATAATAAAGCGAAATTTAATAACATATGAAATCAGATCATAGAATTAATTTTACTAGCATAGATAAACAAAAGTTTAAATGTAGCGTGTAGTCCTATAATACTATATTACGCGATTCAAAAAAAAATCTTTCATTAAAAAAAAATAAATGCGAGAAAAATTTAATCTCATTATTACAGAACGTTGTAAATAAAAAAAAATATAGGAAGAAGCGATAGACTTCTAATAAAATCTCTGCTATGATGAATAACACTGAGTTTCTTTCTACTTGAGTAAACCAGTTGCGTAAAATGTAAAAATTTTTACAAAAAACGCAGAACTGTTTGATAAATCACAATTTTTATTGGTTGGTGTAACTAAGAACATTTGTAATTAACACATATCTCTAGGTATAATTAGGGATAATTTACCTAAAGATAATTTTAGACGACCAAATCAAAACAAAAGAAAATTTTACAGTTATATTTAGAAATATTTAGTGATAAAAAATATATATAATGGTTAATTAACAGTTAATTAACCAAATATTAATTAACTGTTAATTATATCCCTAGGTGTAATCTAATTTCTCGTATTGACGCGTTTGTTTAGGTTTAATTTGACATTCATATTATTTTTGCATCGCTATTAAAATCAGAATAAGAAAAATCAACTTATTACTTAATCATACAGACCTTATTTCACTTAACTTTTTTTATAGAGTTTGGGTTTTGCAGCAAGCATGTTGCCCACCAAGATTAAAAACAAATGATTGAAACAAGCAATTCAAATGACACTAGTTGAAGAAACTGCTAGGTTTAAAAGTAAATTTGAATTTAGGCCACTATAAAGATGTCTAGACATGAAGATTGGAGAGAAAAGAAAATGTATTTGTTTTTTATTATAAGAGAATGTGACTATATAAGATATGCAGGATTGGGACTTTTATTGACAAAAATTGCATAATAATAGTGCAAAGTACAGTAGCGGTCATAAGTATCCGACCGCCTCTAACTCCGGCTACAAGTAAGTAAATTCAAAATTTTTTTTT